AAGCACCTCGTGTCATCATTGACAGCCATACCCGGGGTTCGAAGCGGTTTGGTGAGATCAATCAGAGTCTTGACTTTCATGAACCACCGACCTGTATCTCTAGGACTTTCCCAATTGTGGAATTCACCATCTTCCGCCCAAACTATTGGGTGCATCAGTCTTCTTTAACATCCCAAAATTGGACTTGGAATGGTACAATTGCAATCTCATCATAAATTATTTTGTGATGACATGAGTCCATGATCAGAGTTGACGAATCCTATCCTTGATCACCCATGGAGTTTGTTTTAGGACCCAGACCTTTGCCTCCTCACTGGGGAGAACAAATTCCACTAGGTCGTGTTTCGACATCACCACTCTAATCTGACCCTGGATTTGCCAAGGAGGAAGCACTGCCTCACGGATCTCAGTTGTTGTCACTCTATTCTCTGTGAAAAATCGGCCAAGTAGTGAGTGTGCAGTGTGATACTTCACTGATTGAACTTCCTCCATGAAAACTTAACCACCTGATCAGAAGTGACATGCCCCATCATGTGATCCTATGGGCAAGGATGAGAAACAAAGTTATCAGGTTGCCATTCCACGATCATAGGTGGCGGACGAAGCTTTTGCGTTGAACCCATGAACGATACGTGCATGGCGCTATTCCCAGAGTCATAGGAGAGGTGATAGCCAAGTATATTAGACGAGTTAGAAGGGGATGGAAGGGAGATTTACCTGGGCTTGGAGCTAATCGGGGGATGGGACTTTGCTCTTATTCCTTTGCCAAGATCACCACGCTTTGTTTGTTAAACACAAGAGCGTCAAGTGTAGGGCTGAGGGATTTAAATAGTAAAGAAAATGCGTCCCCAAGATTAGTTATTCCAGCTCGGATTAGGTCTATGAGAGTTTTTTTTAGTTGGAGGACTATTTTTAAAAAGAAAAGGATTAATTAGAGCTGGATTAATCCAACGATCTGCGGAGATCGAATAAATGGTAACTAATATCCCAACCGATCTCCGTCGATCTGGCCACCGGAGCAGTTTGAAACCGTCAGAAATTTTCAGACCACCAGGAGCGCATCCAAAGTTCGTACGTCTAGAATCAATCCCGTGACTCAGCTCTATGATTTGCGGTTGCTGGTCGGTCGTACTATCCCATATTTCTGTACCCTTGAATATTATCGGGGACATGGGTATTAGAATTCCCTCCTTTTTACCACACCACTTAATGGCATGGCTTTGCAGCCTGGTATAATAGCCATAGTTGCGGACATGCTTGCCACCGTGGCGACGACTCGAGAGCAATGAGGTCGCACCAGTTTCATTGACCAACCCTTCTATTCGGGAGCCGGGTGACTTGCTATTGTTAGTCGTCCCTGTGCATGCACGATGTTGATTCTGCAAGAAAACTGCAAGTATGGTTGATATCACTCTGATCAGCGTATCACCAAGCTTTCTCCAATATCGAATGAGAGAGGGGAGAGCATCCCACATTTTTTCGTGAATAAAGTTTAGATGGCAAACAAAGTTAGGGAGATTTCATGCTCAATTAGTAGCCGGTCAGAGACATGCAATTAGTTTTAGAGGTGACATAGAGATTTGATTCATGGATGATGGATTGATAGATCTGTGAATCAAATGGATTGGTGGATTAATGGACTGGATCAAATTGGTTGGTAGATGAGAACATGAATTCAATTATTCAAGTGGCATCGAACGTTGGACAAATATACAATTTTTGGAAAGTTTAAGTACCAAAATATCTTAATAAAAAATTTGAGTACCAAATCAGAATTTTCCGATGATATTTTTGTTCAAAAATTTTTAATACCAAATTATATAGGTAATGACTAGTATATGTCAAACGTATAGTGAAGCATATTTACCGTTCTTAATAAAATTGTGTGTTTGTAAAAAAAAAAAGAACGGCTCTTACATTTCCGCTGTTCAAGTATTGTCAGATGAATATTCTATTGTGTCCATGTAGATTCCCTTAATAATAATTTCTTTTCTTTGAAGGATTAATTACCTGAAAACTTACTTTATCATTCTACAATCTGTTGATGTAACTTGAATCAGACTATTTGGCGTTACGACGTAACCATTTTTCTTTTACCGGATTGGATTAGGGTTAGACTTATAATACTTCTCATACTCCTCTGTAATCCGTATCTCCTCGAAGTACAGTGAAACCGACTCTCTCCTGCTCATGGACTAGGTAACACACATTGTGTTAGTGAATCACATAAATCATATGTCGTGTGCATTCTTGTGTTTCGTTTTCTTACTTTGTTAAATTCTTCAATTTCTCGATCCACAGAGAAACAATAATGACATAATCAATTATTATGGCAATTGTGTAAGAGTTGATTTACGTGAAAATTATGTTCTTGAGAGGCCCCATAGATTTATCGACGTGAAGGAAAATGAAAATGACAGTAGTAGTTGAAAACAATGGAAAGTGACATAAAGTAAAAAGCTGAGGAAATAAAACACGTAATTCAACGAGTACGTAACACTTCTCACTTCTGTATGTGATGGGTTTCAATTAACGGGGAATGAACATATTTGAAGTTCCAGATTACTATAGATTTTATCTTTTCTGCCGTAAGCCCACTTCATTTATCAAGAAAATATCAAATAAGGATAAAGCGTCACCCGTAAATTACCCTTCAAGTAAAGAGGCCCATTCTATATAGTGGGTCATGTCTAACTCAAAGTAATGCAGTTACAATCGAGATTTTAAATACAATCGAAAACTGAAAAAGAATCGGAATTGTAGATTAAAATCATAAGATTTTAAGGTTTATATTAAAATAAACACTTAAAACACCAAATAGTAATAAAATGCATATCCTAAATAGCAGTCGACCACATATAATATAATTACTTCACAAGATAAGTTTGTTTGCTAAATAAACACAACTAATTACATATATTAATTCTTTTACATAATATAAACACATAGATAAACAACTTGAAACCTCATAGAAATCACTTAAATAATAGTTAAGAGTATAAAATCAGATAAGATCGTTAGGATCAACATTAACATCACTTACACACCATCCTCATCATCCTCACACTCACACTCACCCTCACTCTCATCTTTGTTTATTTGCTTGAAGACTAATATCATTACTCTTAGGATCACTTGAACTACTTTCACCATTAACCATATTTCCATGATCACCATCATCTGGCAAAGATAACTCATTGATTGATGCATTCCCTTCTTAATTGATAAAAAGTCATGGATAGTGGTGCTTGAGGATTGGAAGATGAACGAAAGCTTCCAATGGAATGGAGATTTGGATTATTGTGAGGGTGGTGGGAACAAACTACAAGCTAACTAGGAGGGTAGAAGATATCGTTGATGGAAGGAGTTGGGCGTCAACGTGTGAACGAGGAAGATACGAGGAAGAGAATGAAAATAAATTGAGGTTTATCTATCGGGTTAGGGTTGTGTTGTTCATTATGTTGGATCGGGAAAGGTAATTTGACTCGGTTCATGGGCAGAACCGGACTTGACCGACTTAATTTTGCTCCAATTGATATGAACCTTGAAATCGTACAAAATCATAGAAATCGTAGATTTAAAGAATTTTAGAGTTTTCAGTAGGGATTTTATGGGATTTTAAGATTCAAAGATTTTACAGTAAAATTAGGATCGGAACCCACAGGTAAGATTATAAAATCGGGATTTTGACTACATTGAATCTGCGTACAACATCGGATGCGGCAAGCATACATGGCATAGAAAATTTGACTACATGTTAGCTTTAGAGACGGAAATGGTGGTGTTGCAAGTTTTATTAGACGTAAATGATTTGTTTGCCACAAAATGTACTTAATTGATCAGCGTACACTAAATAATACGCTTTAAGTGACAACTGGTGCAATTAATCCCATTTTGGTTGCCAAAGTCTATCTGGTCTTAGCATCATATATCATATCCCTAGTTCACCATATCGATGATTGTCTCCCTTAAATACTACCACGGTTTATTCTCTTACCCTTCATTAATTTTGCTCTATTAATCTAGAAGTGAGCATTAAGTGGGGTTGGAGGGCTCAAAATCATCTGCATAGACGGAAATGGCGATGGGAGCAATTATACATGTGTTAACGTAAGTGAAGAGTACAATAGTGGCCAAATCGGGGGGTTAGCGAGTGGACTGTTAACGTTGAACAAGAGTCGGAGCAATTTCAAAGTGTCATGATGAATCCTAGTAATTTAGATGAGGACTTTCGACATATTGATTTCGTTTAAATATTTTATAATTATAATAGTTGAACCAAATCGACCCGTTTGACGACATAAAATTGGACGGAGCAATGTAATTAGGTAAATTTTGAACTAATCCATTTTGTGACAATTACAAGTTTATGGAATAAAAAAAAGCATTTTAAATTGACTTGTTCCGTAAAATGTGAAAATTATTTCTCAAACTCCTCCATCCAAATGATCCATGAAATTATAAAGTAAGAGATGGCACCTACAACAAATACAATACCAGGCTTGAACATGCAACCAAGCATAATTCGTACTCACATGGGGAACATTTGTCGGGGCTGAAGTACAAAAGCAAAAGAGAAGGTCGACCAGTCTGGTTTGAGGTCTGAAAGGTTTTCCGTGTTACAAATGGCCCACCTGCTAATCGACGATGAAGAAGTTTGTGAACGATTCCCTGCGCTAAATACTCGGATTAAAATTAAAATGTCAAATAAATTTATTAACCACCAAAAGTTAAAAAGAATTCCAAACCCATTCGTGTGTGAAGTGGAAACTGGCAGAATGGAGTTGAGAGCCGTATATATAATATAATATAATATAATATAATATAATTAATTAATTCTCCTTTGTCTTCTACTTCTACAACTCCGTCTCCGAGCGTAGGCATTGGCTTTGGGTCTCTCTGGACTGGAGGATGGAGGAAAGGAAATCCATGCCCACGTCAGTCTGATGAGGGCCCAGCAATCCTAATTCCTAACCCCTTTTTCCCTCCAATATCTCTTACGTTTTTCTTTTACTTATTTATATATTTATTTCTCAAAATTGAATTCCCCTAGCCTTTGTCTTCCTATAAATATGTGTTGAACACGAAGCAGAGTCAGGCTTGAAGCGGCAACAGCTTAAGTCCAATCCTTCAGGAACAATATTCCTTCCTTTTAACCCCTTTACCCCACCTTCAAAATCCTAAACTCCAACTCTGATTTCCCCTAACTCACAACAAAACCAGAGCCAGTTCCCATGGCGGCGTCGATCGACTCCAAAACCCCCATCAAATTCCTCTGTAGTTACGGCGGCAAGCTCGTCCCCCGTTATCCCGACGGCAAACTTCGCTACCAGGGCGGCCAAACCCGCGTCCTCGCCGTCCACCGCTCCGTCTCCTTCCCCGGTAAATTCTCCCACCTATTCCTCTCCCCAATTTCACCCCCCTGTCTCCCTCCAGTTCAGAGATAACTGAATTTCTTTCAATTACCAACAGAGCTATTGACCAAGTTGAGGGAGTTCTGTGGGGGCGCTATGGTGAGCTTGCGTTGTCAGTTGCCGCCGGAAGCAGATCTCGACGACGCGCTTGTGTCAATCGTCTCCGACGAGGATCTGGCCAATCTGATAGAGGAATACGATCGATCCCCTGTTTCGTCGTCGTCGCTGAAAATCAGAGCATTCCTTTCGCCGCCGTCGAAGAAACAATCGCCTGCCCCGTCGTCCACCACTTCGTCTTCTTCGTCCAGCTCCTCGTCCTCGTCGTGGTCGTCATCTAATACTTTCGCGGCCACGATCGACTCTCCCAGGTGCTACCGCCGGCAGATCCCGAGGGCGCCGGCGACCAATCCGACGAGGAAGTTCCCTCCTCCTCCTCATCACTACGGCGGCCACGTTTATCTCAATCTCGTCCACAACGGGAATCATTGGCAATAACGGTGTGTGGTTTAGGGACTAGTTTGGATTAAAAAGAAAGTTAGTGGGGGAAGGCGTATATATAGAGATAAGGAAGTGGGGAAGGTGGAGTGGAGGGGATGATACACGATGTAATTGTGGGAGTGCAAATTTTAAATGAATTATCAGTCCGTCCGTCCAAATCTCCGGCTCCGGCGGTATTTTGCTTCCCAAAGTTCGTTAGCGTTAGCCCCACAACAAACTTTCGGTCGCGTCCCGTCCACAGTTCCGTTATCCTCCGTGTTCTTTTCTGAAGCGCTGACGTAAAAAAAATCAGGCTTATCATCTTCTCCCATAATTTGTTTCTTTTCCTTCCTGTTCTTGATTTCTTGTATTTTATTTATTTGTGCAATTGGCTGGATATAGTTTTTTGTGTTTATGCCTACTAGTTTCTTTTATTTTTAATTTTCTAATATTCTGTTTTCTTTGTGGTCAGGTAGAGCTGAAGAGGCGAGGAGTTCCGGCTTGGAGATAATTGTGATTATGAGCTAGTTTGGCCTGTTATAGTTTTACAAAAACAACTTTTGCTGTAGTATAAACTTGGGAATGTTTTTTGGAGGCTTAGGATAGGATCAGTAACTATTGATTACTGACGTATGAGTAACTAAATCTGAACCTTTAGATCTAAGTGAGTCTAGAAAATTCAGATATAAGAATTGTCAATTAAAGACATTTTATTTTTCATAGTTTTCTTAATCGACTCTTATCTTCTTCGTTCTAACTCGGATTTCAATTTTTTTCACAGATGGAACGAGTTCGTTGTGCTCTACAAAATGAGATCAATTTTCAATATATTTCGAGAAACTTTTTTTTACCAACTACATATCATATGGTAAATTTTTCCTTTTTAAGTCGTTTTTGAAAACGTTTGCTCACAAAGAACGAGTTCATCATGATCTATAGGATCTATAAATTTTTTGGTGAAAAAAATACTGGATAAAAAATTACCATACTTTACCACTATAGTATGTGGGTGGTAACTTGTGGTAACTGGTAGTAAACAATGATGAAAAGCGTAAATGATAGTCTGTATACTTCTACTATCATGTATTCAACCTTCTTACCATATTGGTATGTTCATACCATCATGATACGCTTTCTTACCATATAGTATTAAATAGGAGCATACCATATGGTAATGACTGGTAAAAAATTATTCAATTTTTTTGTACTAAAAATATATCAAAATGAATATCATTTTAAAGAGAACATTTAATCTGATTTATCTGAGCAAAAAAAATTAAATTTCGACTTAAAACGAGAGAGAAATCGTCCGTTAAAGATTAAAGAGAAAAAGATAAAAGAGTTTTCAGGAGAGAGTATAATGATGTCATGGTGATGTGGACATGTTACTTATGGTTACTCACCATAAGGTTACTGACTTAATCCGTTCCCTTTTTGGATGGTAGTTTTAAAGAAATATTTTTGAAAAATATGGTAAGAGTATTTGCCGATAAACTATTAGCCATACTAAGTCATGGAAAATGACTAAAAATAATTTTTAATATAAAGTGTGAATAAAAATAATAATAAAATCATCAAAATGCATCTTGTTGTATTTATATTACATGAAATGATAATATTTTTATAATTTATTTTAGCTTATGATAATAAATGAAAGAAAAGTATGTTTTTGGAAGAAAAAAAAAATAGCGAGAATAATCTTGTATTCACACAACTTTTCGCAGAAGTTTCAAATCAAAATTTTGCTTTTATGTTATATAAATCACTATTCAATTTTTCAAATGTCGTATTTATAGAGATTTTTGGACCGATTTCAACTTTTAAAGTTCAAAAGCACTTCCAAAATCATGCCAAGCATAGGCTATATCATGTGCATAGTAGGTTGGGTACTTCCGCACTTGGGTTAGGGAAGGAGCAACTCTAATTTGTGTTTTGTTTTACAAATTACATCATAATAAATTGAAAAAAAGAAATCGCAATATGGGGTGTTTGGATGCATGATTTTGTCCTAAAACCCTCTTTGTGCAGGATTTCGCCCAAATCACTTGTTTACGACGGCTTATAGAATGTATTCGAAATAGCTTATCTCTCGCGGTTATTTTGAAAGCACACTTTTTTACAATATATCTCTAATTTGTCCCTGCTTTTTTGTTACTCCAACTTTACCCTTCCCCTCTGATGGTTCCTTACTCGCAGACTATCCGATCTCGCGACGACATTGCCCGCCATCTTTGTCAAAATCGCTAGTGGAATGAAAGCATCTTGGAAGTCGACTGAATCTCATATCAACTCGAATCAAATATGAATCTATCTGCTTCAGTTTTTAATGGACAGTTTGCATTAAACCCAACATGAAAAGGGAGCCTTGACTTTAAGGTAGAGTTAACGAGCCAGTGTTTTACCTAGAAGAACCTTGATGCCTGCTAAAATTAATTTTTTCGTGGTTTACAGAGTTATGGTTGACATAGTTTTTGGTATTTTCTTGCCCATAATCAGAGATGTCAAAATAAAACCGAACAAACTAACCTACCCGACTAACTTGATCCACATCCCACTCATAACCCCAATTGACTAAAACATCAATGAACTAAACTTGCTCGAAACTTAACCCGATTGACCAATAAACCATTAGACTATAATCCAATTGACTCATAACCAGATTAACCTGTAACGCGATTGACCAGTAACTCGAACAACCAATAAACCAATTGACCAATTAACCCATAACCCAAATGGACTAGTAACCAGATGAACCAGTAACCCTATAACCCGCCTGCCCTCAAGCCGATTATATATCGTTGAGCATATCTCCTTGACAAAAGGAGTCATTGAGCATGCGATCGACTTAGAAGAGTCCATTGTAGAAGGTACCGACCTTGAAATGGTCGTAAAATTCATGGTGATGTCATTGAAGGAACAATATGGTGTATCTCTCTCAAGCATCTCTAAGTGTCTCATCATCTTATTGGGAAAAAAATGAGTGATGACTCTTTAAAGCTCGACCAAATTGAAGGTGGAAAGTAATGAGCCATAAACTTCTCTATGAGATTCGTCCAAGAAGTGATGGACATAGGTTATTGGTTGTTGAGCCACACCCTTGCTCTTTCAATCAAGGAATAAGTAAACAATCTTAATCTAAGTGGCTTTTTGTGGAACTCCATTCATCTTAATCCCATCTCATGAGCTCCAATCAATTGATGTGGTCTATTGGTGCTTCATGGTTGAAATCAGATAATTGGATGTTGTTTTGAATAGTTGAAATGACTCTCATCTTGATCTCGAATTTGTTGGTCACAATAGGGGGATGGCGGATACTCGGTGGAATATCCTCGACCCTTGGGCTAAAGTAGTACCCCATGGTCCTTTTTGGTTTGCCCACATTATGTTCTTGTGCATCCACCATAAATAACTTCAATTTCGACTTCTTCCGCAGGGTTACGAATTGCTAATATCTTCCGAGCTTCTCTTAGCTCTCTTTTTCCTTGCAAGAAGGCGCAAGGTGCAGTTGATGTTGTGGTTGATCATTTGCAAGTTCTCCGGATTACTCCTGGTCATACACTTCCTGTATCACAAATCAAATAAACACAATCGTGAAAATCAAACGCAAAACAAAAATGCTAGAGTAACAGTAGTCCACTTTTTCTAATAACTTATTGTTTTTTGGGGGAAAACTTGTGTTTGAAATGAAATTGATTGCACCTTGAATTCTAAACAAGCAATTAAACAAACACAATTCACACCTCTTTGAACAAAGTTCAAACAAGGATGTTCGATGCCTTTATAATCCACGAGACAGATTTAAATTAAATTATTTTACTCCTATGGAGGTTTAGTGAGAGCTCTAGAACTACAACTATGAATAAATTTGCAGAGGAAAAGATAAAAGGATAAAAGTTGACATTGGATTGTCTGGTGTGAATTTGGTAAACCCTTGCTTTGTCATCTTCACCTCCTATTTATAGCACCAGAAGTAAATGCCTAAAAAAAATTCAACTGATGTGGAGCGACAGTTACCCTTTCAATTGCTCTGACGATGCCCTGACATTGGATGTGCCACCATGTTCAGACTTGACCCCCTCTTCTTGATAGCTCCTCCTTAGCTATGATTTTGAATGAGAAAAATGCTTAAAGCATGAAGACCCTCTTGCCCCATGTGGGTGAGTATCAAATCACATGGTTAAAATGGCAAAAATATTTCACCACTTATGGACTTGATCTTTTTCCTTATTCCCCTCGGTAAACCTAAACAACAAAACAAAAGGACTTGATTTTTCTCCAATACTTTCTCCCCATATCCCTTCTTCCATCTCGACACAAAAGTCGTCCACCCCCTCCCTATGCCATTGTAACCACCAACACCCATGTTATTCCGAAATCATGTGACATGGTATATTTTGAAGCTATTTGGGTTCAAAACATCATCATGCTCCCTAGTTAATACTAGCTACTTCAAATCATACCTCATGCCAATCACCACCACCCCATGTGTTGTCATGAGGGGCATGGTTCACATCTTAATATGAACTTGACATGGTTAGGCAACCTTAGCGGCCTAAAAGTATCAGAAATGATGACACCTTGATTCCCAAAGATAAGGAACGTAAAGTTTATTGCTAACCATGAAACGACTGTAAGGGCTCCATCGACCCAACCATTCACACTTATACTCCAATCTAATGTGGTTTCAATAAGAAGTGGTGGCTGAGAATACCAATTATGACAAGGCCCCCATAACTCAAGTCTAACAACTCCAACTCAAACTTGCTCATTTGTCATTTTGCTACTTCATAATCATAGCCATGATTGGCTTTTTTATTAATTAATATATTTTTCTACTTTCATTTATTTATTACATATGGTAAGTGACAAGCATCACTGATCTCCATAGCCATTGGCAATAACTAACGTGCCAAAGTTGTACACTCATTTCCAAGTCCATTGGTTAAAAAACAAATGCCAACCATACACCATGTGACCATGGTTGTTCAAAGGAGATGAATTTTCTCAAGTTGGTTTTGTATCATCTCCTTCATCATATTTCTTACCTTTGTCGAACTTAGGCTGGAGTGTTCATCTTCGAGTCTGTCTTCCCCTATATACTCATCAATCTCATCATCATACCAAACACCTTCTTCTTTTAATCTATCTCTCAACATTTTCTGGCTCTTAACATCACTTTGAATTGGGACATGCTTACCCTTATTAGTCACTATGATTTTGAAACTCGTGGCAACAGATTTTTCCACCTTGATACTATCTTGAAAATCATCATTATGTTGTGATGGTCTCAACATCCCATCATGTACTATTGGGTATTGTATCATATGTGCTTTGGCATTCTTACACAAGAATCTCCTCCTTTGACCCCTCGTCATCCCTCCAATAGCAAGTGGCTATTGATAATACATATCGTAAGTATGCCATCCTTCTTGTGGCACATTGGGTATCTTGAACGTCCTTCTCATGGTCTCATGCCATTACCTTCTTTGCTCTCAAACTGGTTGAATCACACCCTCTACTTCTCTTTGATAAGGTGGGTATCTCGTCCTATGTGGTGGACTAATTCATTGTTGGACTGATAGATTTGGTCTCACTTCATCAAGTCTATGACTCCTTTTACATTAGGAGCATAAATTCTCCACTTCACTTGACATCCTAGATGCGGCAAAGTTGGCCTGCATGCCCCTCTACGACTCTCCTTGCTCGAAAACCACGTTC